TGAACACATGCTAATCGTTTACTGAAATCCCGCCAGTTACTGTAAATGAAATGTTAGCAGAAGATTTTGCGGAACACAGTGAACGTCGGGTCACAGGCAATTTGTTGTTAATGAAGCAGATTACAGTCTGGAAACGAAACGTTAGTATTCTGCAGCGTCTGTTGGAGTCACGTGTTCCCTTCGTAAGCGTGTTCTCACCGTAGGTGCCGTGTTCTGAACAGCAGCCGCCAGTCCCTCCTTCATCATGCAGGTCAGGCTGTAGAACTCGTGCTGTTGGTCGATCTCAAACAGACCCAGGAGTTTCCACTGTTGCCTCAGACCTCCCCACCTCCTCCTCCTGCGTGTCTTTATGGTACCAGAGCATCTGTGCTGACCTGGTGCCATGCCTGGACCATCTCGTCCAACACCATCACCACCACCGAGTCCTGCTGCAGCTGCCTCCATCTGTACTCGCAAACACACAGAGCCGGAGCAGGCCGGTGTTTTGAAAGCGCATCAAAGAGCGAGTGGAGGCCGGAGAGGGCAGGGAGACAAAGACAGAGACCACGCACAGCTACCGATCAGCTGAGCTGCGTTACCATGGACGACCACTAAAAGGGAAAATAGCCTCATTGGCTGAGTGGTGGCCTCCAGCCTCCTCATCTGAAACGTCGCATAGTGGCACCATGACCTTTGCATCAGTTCTTTATTACATATATAGTAATACATATAGTTTTCATCTCACAGCACTGTGATTACACAGCATCAACATATGACATTGACTTGTCTTTGTCACGAAGCGGGCTACAACACCACGTTCATTTCCAGCAGCAGCGATGCTTTGTTCTCCTCGTGGAACAAAAGCCTGTGTCTGACTGTAACAACAACCGAAACTGAGCCCATAAAGGGACACTGTTCTGAATGCAACACAACCCAGTTTAGTCTATCTATCTATCTGTCTATCTATCTATCTATCTATCTATCTATCTATCTATCTATCTATCTATCTATCTATCTATCTATCTATCTATCCATCCATCCATCCATCCATCCATCCATCCATCCATCTATAATAATAGTAATAATAATAATAATAATAATAATAATAATAATAATAATAATAATGTGGATTTATATATTACTTGTTTTTAAAAAGCCCAGGGCAGCAGACAGGGTGATGGGGGATTATATGTTGAAAACAGTTTTGAACAGATGAGTGTATAGGATGGACTGAAATGCCTGTCTGTATTTTGTAATTCTGGGACTGCTGTGTCATCATGTGAAGATTCTTATCATGGGTAAGGCATCATTCTTTTCTTCTTTTTTTGTCTTCTCTGTTCTTCAGCAGTCAATAGCCTGCAACCTTTCACTTCACTGCAATACCACAGAGAAAAAAAAAAATTCTTCCAAAGGATTTGCACCATTGTCCTGGAGTTAATTAGAACAACATTTTAAATTGGAATATTTCCATGTATCCAAATTTTAAAGGGAAGATAAAAGACTATTTGATTACTAAATAGAAATGCACTAAACACCAGAATCCCTATCTCCCAGTGGTCATAGACTCAAGCGTTGTGTAAAGTTAAAGGTGGCCCAAAGGCTTGAAACCTTGTGTGATCTGACGGATTTGAGTTGAATAGTTTAAACTTTTATTTTGGGGTGAAAAAAAGAGATAAAGGAAGTGGCTCCGCGGTTTGCTAATAAACGTGCGCAACTTTTTTTTTTTTTTTACAACGCAACGCGCCTGAAGTGAACGTAAGTCAAAGTAAGAACAGAACATTACGGGTTCTTCAAAACTGTCACAACAATATTTTGCCAACTACTGTTCTATTTGGTGCTGTTTGCCTGGGAAACCGTTCTTAAACAACACTTCAGGTGATTTTTTACTTGACATCACCCGTTCGCTCTGTACCTGGATGAACGTAAACATCTCTCCGCTGTTTAACTAACGTTAAAATCCGCTTTATGTTTCGTGCTTCGTGGCGTGAATTGACAGTCAACCACAGAGTATCATGTCATTGTTACCATGGCGATGTTGGTACAGTACAAATAACATTGTTGCTTTTTCACTGTGTTTGCAGGTGACCACTAGAGTCAATGTCAGGCTAAAAGCTATCAGGGAGCTAACGGGGACCAACATTTCCAGAACCAGAGCCGCCCTCGTGGACCTGAAGGTGAAAATGCGGATATTAGCGAAATGCTTTCTACCGTTTGACAACTATTCACTAATTGAAGGTATTTATATACTTAATTTCACTCAGTACCAAAGTGGCACCAATTTAAAAACGTGTACTTGTTAAATAGCTGCACTTCATGATATATATATATATATATATATATATATATATATATATATTACATTACAATTTAGTAAAAAAGAGTATTGACAGGGAGTGGGTAGAAATATTGATACACGAGGGTCCACTCTGCACTTGGGCAGGTTTGTTCCACAGCAGAATGAGCAGAGTGAACCCTCTTGTCCATCCAATCTTTTTGGGGTGGGGCAGCGGCGTTGCTAGAACACACACGCAGTGCAGCAACCACGGACAGGCCAATATGCTGAATTTGTTAAAAAAAGTGGTGGCAACAACCAAGGGAACGCGCCAAACTTACAGTACCCAGGTGTTAATCACTTGATCAAGATCTGTGTTTCTTGCCAGTTTCTTGTGAAATGTCTTACAGCAGTTTCGTCCCCCTCAGGGACAAACTTACTTTAGAGAACCTCTGTTCTAACTATCTGAGCCCGGTTTTTGATCTCTCATCAAACGCAGCTGTCAGGTTTGTGATCCCAGTCATCCTGTCCTTCCCCAAAACCTGTCAAATCAGTCCGTTACTTTTGGACTCCAGAACTGTCAACTATCAGACCTGCCTGTCGGTCTCTCTGTGGTCATGTGTTCAGGTCCTCGTAGCTACAATTAAATGTGCTGCTTTCTGGCGTTGGGGTCAGATCTATCCATCCATCCATCCATTTTCATCCACTTATCCATTACCAGGTTGTCTCCATGACCACCACCCAAATCACACTGCACCGTACCAACCCCCCTGAACCTTCCTGTGGGTGGTGAGTCCACTGGAAGGTACCAACCGCCCTAACTGGGATTCAATCTTCACCCAGGAGGTGAACCCTGGGGTTCAACACCAATAACAGAGACATTGTCTCTGGGCCAAAGTGCCACGGGGTCAGATTTGTAAGCACCAAATACAGTATAAGACTCTGATAATCAACTTGTTTTTTTTTGTCAAAGGTATTCCGGTTCACGTAACAGCTTGACTAATGTCTTTGTGGCGTCCTGTGATTCAGACACCCTGCTCTGTCCTATTATTCAAATTTGTCCTTCCATCTCAGACTCAGATACTCTCACTTGCGCAATTTCCAGTTTCGCTTATTCATATTTGTCTGCCTTATTGTGCTGATATAACGTCTAGTTTTTCTGTCTGTGTCTCTCCTCATTTTTGCGTGTGGAACTGCCCTTTAACTCCCTGGTGTGTGTCCGAGTCATAGTTGCCGAGTGAATCTGTCTAAGGCATGCCTGTCGTGCGCAACATCAAGTAATAGAACTGTGGATTTCCCTTACACACTTCTGTATGAGACACTCAGACCAGACGGTGAAAAGCAACACTTTAAACAACAGCTCCCGTCTGATGCTGAGTCATCTCTGGGATTGCCCAAGAATCTTTTTGTTTTTATTAACCATCGAATTGAATTAGTGCTCTTCCGCTGAAGGAAACAGAAATGGTCAAAACAAAGTGTGGCGAGAGTAAATCATAAAATGTTCATTCATCAGATTCTTTACTTGCCTGGTGTTGATCATCCTACGCAGAGCAGTGAAGCTCAGTCTGGAGCATCAGCACCTCCGTGGTGTGTGTGTGTGTGTGTGTGTGTCCCTCCCTCCCTCTGTGGCTCTGTGGTCACTCTGTGCTAGATGTATCCACTGTTTAAGATGCTGATTTTTCCAATGCCTGTAGGCTAAACATCACGTAGCTTACCTTGAGCTAACGTTTGTCTGTTGTTTGTGTTTTTCTTCATTTCAGTCATTTACGGAATATTTACAGTACTCCTTCACATTATGTCCCACAGTCCAGTTAGCACTTGTTTAAAATGATGTATTCTTGGTTGACAATTCAAGGTTTTTGTTAGCATTGGATCATTTTCAAATACAATTTTGGGGTAATGTTTATTGTTTATTTTATTTTTATATTAATTTTATTTTACCTCTTGGTCTATTTTAATTGCAAGCAAGCTCTGGAGCGAATAGTTCTTATGGGCTAACATTTGCTTAGCTTTTAGCAAACTTCTATCAATTTTGATAAAATTACAGTTGGTATAAATTTTAATCGGCCTTTATCCGGCTCCACTTTTCTCAAGTCATTGCTTCACGTTTTTGCTAATATATTATTTCCCTAATTTGTATTGCAGTTTTCATGTGTGTGTGTGTGTGTGTGTGTGTGTGTTAAGCTAACCTTCTGTATTTTGTCTTTCGTTTTCACCACGTTTGTAATACTTTTCCTAGAACTTGTTCCCTGCAACTCATTGGTAAATGTGTATAGATTTAAGCACTTTTAGTAAGTATTCTGTCATAGTTCATTTTAATTGGAACATTTTGTAGCGAGTAAACTTTAAATTGTCTTTTATGGCCAGCTTTAGATAGTTAAAGCTTGAATCATGCATCTGTTGCTTTGTAGTGGTTGAACGCCGATGATGTCCTCCAGTTGCAGCACGTCCTTGAAGCAGGATCTTGTGAGTGTGACTGTGAAACACGTCTTTCACACGTCACAAGATCCACTGGGGTCATCTTTCGTCCTCATCCAGACGGCGTTGTCTGAGTTCCCAAATGTACTGATATGATATCTTATTGCGATGGATGACAAATACAAATGTCTCAAAGTTGTGCAGACCACCAGTCTCATCGAGCATACAAGAAATAAGCATTCTTTCCCAATCTCTAATCTCTACCAGACCTTTCTACAGATGTACTTGGCCTCTCTCCAGCCTCCAAAACAAAGTCATAACAACATTCACATCTTTTATCACAGCATAATTTTAATGTGCACACAGTTGGAACTAGACCTACTGTCTTCAGAACACATAAACAAACAGCATTTACAAAGGCTGGACCTGTTACTCAATTAAATAAAGCGGGATTATTTAAGACAGACAGACAGACTCTATGAACAATTATTTGTTCTCTTTGCCAAAGTCTAACATAGACTTGTGCAATAATATTTCTGCGCGGAGCCGCTGACTGGGCCTGGGATGAGACGATGGAATAAGACGATCTTAGGTTCTGAGTAGTGGATGTCGGCTCCTACAGAAATAGAGCTCATGTGCTATTATTTTTCCTGTCTCCTTGTTGCATCTTTCTGCAATTCCAAGCCCACACTGACTAGTGGACTTGTCCAGATGGCGCCTGACTGAAATAAATAACATCTAGTATTTCCACAAAGACCCCTTCTAAGAAGCTTAACAGTGACAAATTTGAGAAACTATGTTGTTTTGGTTTTGGTTTATTTAATTTGCTTTGTAAATCTGTTCCGTTAGCCGGTTGTGATCACCCTCAGATCACTTTCTTTGTTTTGGAATTTTTCCACAAGATGACAGCAGCGAAGCCACCTACGGTAAAAAGATGAAAAACCGAGAATAAGTACAGATTAAACAAAATACAGGCATTTTCAAGATTGAACCAACTTTACAACAGTGCAATTTCTTTTTTTTTACAATGTAGACTCTTTAATCATTTATCATTATTATTGTATTCAATCTGGGACATTATCTGTTTGAAATTTGTATTCAAATTTAGAATTGGACCCCAGTGATAGTTCTGTCCTGACTGGTGACCAATGTTGAGATGATTTTCTTGGAGCATATTTTCAGACGGTCTAGCTGTAGGCAGGGGGCGCTGCTGTTCCTGGTGTTACAACAATAGCTTAACTCAGTTGAGCCAATCAAATCATTTATTTACCCTCAGCCTCCAGTGCACCACACAGAACCACACCCCACACACTGTTGCCCGGTGCTTAAAGCTGCCCACTGTTCACTTTGGTGATGGGTTAATGACAAGTAGTTCCCTTTACCGTTCCTTCCTTCATGTGCCCTGAAAAGGGGCATTAATTAACAAGGCTGCTGTTTGAGCAAAGTTGTCACCTGAAGTCTGAGCTGAGGACACACAGAGCCCAGGTCTGACTGATGTAACTGACAAAAAAAAGCCCTTACGTTCATTTGCATGAGACTGCGACTTTAGTAATGGTGAAAGAGTCAGCCGAGAACTCAGTTAAATGTTTGCTTTGAAAATTGACATAATTGTTGGAATATGAAAACGGACATAGGGGAAAACTATAAGAAACTTCGGTTCGGACCTTTGCTTGGAGGGGATATTCAGTGACTTTGAATTGAATACCCTTGAGTTACAAGTTAAGCCTTCTAAGGTAGTAAAAATAAGTCCCACGAGGGGGCGCCCACTGTCCATAATGTAGTTATTTAGCGTGTCCCACGTGTCCTCACCTATACAGAGGAGCAGAATCACTGCTGCAACACCGGGCAGAATTACTGAATACTCTCGTGGAAGAAAGTAGTTGTGCAGAAGGTGATCACTGTCGACGAAAGGCTGGAGAAGAAACAGAAGACCAGAAGAACAACAATGTACAGTTTAGCTGAAGCAGTACATTTGATATAAATCAGTGTTTAGCTTTCGCAAATATTGCAGTGATCCAATCATTGGGATTTCACTGGATAAAAAGAAAAAATGAACTCACCAGAACAATGACCCAGACAGTGTAGTAAGTAAACAGCACAAGACTGAAAACAACGAGACTCGTGCCGACAGCCTGATCCACACCTGTCGCCTTTGAACAGAGACAGGATGTTAGCAAAAAGTAATAAACCTGCGTGAAGTTAATAAACCTAAATCCGTTTGTGCTATTATAGCTTTGGAGTAATTAAAAACACCCCCCCCCCCCCGACCAAATAACTCTAAATTAGTCTCTATCGCAGTAACCTGGTAGCCCCCATGGACTACCTAAAGTGCCCGCACTAGTCCAAACTAGTCAACAAGAGAGTCAAAAACAAAGAGACAAAAGGAAACAAATATAAACAATTCTGGGGAAAAACTTTTGGAATCAGGAAAAAAAAAACAACTTAGTTGCACTACCTCTAAAACTGGAACCAACTACTGTATATCTGATTGCTTTTGCCAGATCAGCTGCAGGTTGGGGCCTTGTCATTGGGGCCTTGGCCTGATCATTTTCTTCAACTACCACCACAGATGTTCAATTGGATTGAGATCTGGACTATTTGCAGGCCATGGCATTGACCTTATGTGTCTTTCTTTATGGAATGTTCTCACAGTTTTTGCTCTATGGCAAGAAATGACTTTAGTTTTGTGTCATGTGTGTGATCTGCTTTTTTTGTTTTTACAAAATTAAACAACTGAATGAACATCCTCCGAGACGGGTGATTCCATAATTTTTGCCAGGGGTTGTACTAAGTGCCCCTGAAGTAGCTCTTAGTTTCAAAAAGGGTCACCAACTCTATCGTTTGTGCTTTTATGGTTTTTACAGTTTATTTTTCACACGCGTGACGTCACCAGGAAATTAAAGCGTTTACGTTTTACCAAATAACACGAATACAAAAGTGTTATGTGGCTGTGCAAAACCTAATCTCGTTCTAATATCTCAGTAAACAGGCGTTGCAGAATCGGAAAGTAATTATTTGAGCTGGTTTGAACGTCTCTCTTTTGTGTAGTTTCAAACGGCGGGGTCATTAGAAGAGATGAGATGAAAAGGCGGCTTTTAACAACATAAGCTTGAACCATGTCAATATTAGCAGGTAGCTTTATCGTGGCGCTGTGACGTGGAACTATTGGGTATTTTAAATGTCCTGAGTCTCCTAAATCAAGACGAAGAATCGATTTCTCTTTGTAATTGTTTCCCGCAAACGTTCGGCTTATTTAACATTAGTCTAACCGTGAAGTCAAATCTGTTTATCTTTATTTCCTTACCATGTCTACGTTAGCTGACGTCGCCTGTTCTTCTTCTTTATGGGCTTTGAAATGGCTCAACAGACTCAGTGGCGAGTGTTTGCTGACACCTGCTGGTACATTTCGGAACTCAGCAAACTTTCCAGTAGTGATGTTTTCTTGGTTTTAATCTTGCAGTAAATTGTTTGCAAAGGACTCTAGTCACTGTGTTATTTTGACCCAGTTCAGTTGTCTTGATTGGACTGAGATGTTTATCTCGGCATTGGTAATTGATCCCTTCAAATCTGATTTCTTATTAGGTTGAGAAAATATTTGTTTTCTGCCATTTTGATTTGATAGCACGTAAATCTCTTTGAACCTTTGAATAAACTATATTTAATTATGTGCCTAATACAGTTATTCCCAACTACCACATTCTAGGTGGATGAGAGGTTGTGTCTTCATCTGCCTCTTCTATTGAGTGATCGTTTCTCATCATCTATGTCACTGAAAAACCATCAGTCAATGTTGTCCTGAGTTCAATCCCCAGGAAACTCAAACCTTCTTCCAGATAGACAGAATCCAAAATTAATCTAGATACGAGTGGATCGACATACGAGTGCTGTTGTGGAACCAATTTGATTTGTATCTTGGGGGTCCACTGTATCGGCGTTGTGTTCAACTAAACAGGCACAAGTGTCAAACCAAGTTAGTGGATTTCGAGTAATGAAACTAGAAGAATATTTTCTTTCATTACATATACTTTGTGGGACACTTTTGTTTGATGGCTGACTGTGGGATTTTCTCATGGCTCAGGTTGTACACTGACCTAAAGATAAAAGGGGTTCAGTGGCTCTGATGTTTCAGATATGCTCCGTTAAAATCACCACCAGAAGATTCAACTTCCTAATAATTCTGTCCTCTTCTGTAATTGTAACGGCAAGACACTTTTACAAAAAAGTGCATTTAAACAATGAAAACAGATCAGACTGAAATTTAGAACATACAGTGTTTATTTATACACGTTAATCTGACGTACATTTAATTTTTACCCTTTAACAAGCCTCGGAACATCCCTTTAGTGTAACCTGACTTTATTAAGTAACCAAAGTGAGAGGTTTTTATTCTTAGTATGACCAGAAAATGCATCATTATCCCATTGTGATTCAACAATCCCTTTCACCAACAATGGAACAATGTCAGAATATCACAGGCTGCGTATGATCAAGTGCAAAGTAAAAAATAATCATTTATTTATATACAGTATATATATACTATCTGTAGAAAAAAAAAATCACAGTTACAGACAATGCACCGACACATGGTTCCCTATGAAGTGTGCTTTTTTTTTTTTTTTTTTCATTTTTAGAGAGAGTCACACATCAATGGGACCGTCCTGCCCTGACCTGAGACCAGCCTGCTGGTCATGAAATAAAATAAAAAAAAGCTGAAGGTTCTAGAAGGTTGACGTGTCACCAGAGTTTTCTGTGTGGAATTTATTCCATGTACGTGTATGGAGACAGTGAAGAAGAACCATCTAGAGTACCAAAGTAACATTGGACGATGGACGAGTCAGAGGGAGTGCTAGGTTGTACATACATTCCTGTGGGCAACACTGAAAACCTTAAAGAAACTGTTTGTTTTTCCTTTGTAGTGTAGTTCTACGACTGACTCTACATCAACCGCCTAGGAGTTACAAGTAGGCAAATGCAGAGAGGAAAGGTGAAAGGTGTATTCTTTGTGTGGTTTTTCAGATTTGTTCTACCACACCGATGTCCATAGAGAAAAGACCAATGTTTAAATGGACTGAAAAAAAAACAAACTCACAGCAGCAGTAGATTAACAATTCCTGTTATGACAATTATTTTAAATGACAAATTTTCTCAATAGACCTTAGTGCAGTCCACAATCTTTAAAAAATAATATCAAAAATAAATGAAAAGGTTTTTTTTCCACACAAACAAATCTAATCTGGGGATTTCAATCAGTGAAGTCACATTAAAACAATATTTTAATCAACTTTTCTGCTCTGTTGTAAAATCACTTCTTTTCTCTATGGAATTTGGTGCAGGTACTTGTTGAAAAGGTTGACGGAAGATAAAGTCATTATTGTCGTACCAGTCCCTCACATAAAAAAAAAAAACAACTCCTGAACTACACCTTTAGACAACAGTTAAAAGTCCACAAGTACAGAAGTTTAATGCAAGATTTACCCAGAGTTCACTGGGGCTTTACGCACCAGACTGAAGACACGCATGGCCCGCACGCACAAACAAACACATTTACACACACAGTTACTGCAGACACACACATACACACACACCCAAACACAGTCCACAGAAGGTCAGTCTCTGTTGTTTATTGTTGTGGAGAAGAAGAGGAGCTTTGTGTTGCAGCTGTGGGACGGAGGGGTCTGCTGCTTCACTGTCAGTGTCAGGAACAGACAGGACAAGTGGGCGACGACTTCTCAGTGTAGTTCTTCTAAACCTAGCATTTACGCTCCAAGCCCACCCCACAGCCAATCAGAGCCAGGGATGAAGGTTATTTCACTAACAATGATGGAAACGTGATTGGATTGAAAAACCTGGTGGCAATGTACCTGGTATGCAATACTGAGTGATGTCATAAATCGGTGGTGTGAGGTGGACCTCCCTTGTGGGGGCGCCAGAGCACACAAGTGAGGACAGCTAAAAGAAATTGATTATGATTCCCGAGGTAAAAAGAGTGTAATTATACTGTATTTCAAATATATTTAATATTTAATCCTGATGTTGGAAACACCTGGTTTCATTTTGTTTTTAGGGTTGCTAAATGTGTTTCATTGTTGACATATGACGAAAATGTTCACAGAATTCACGGGCCGTTTTGTTTGAATTTTACATAAAATAAAAAATATGTTCTATTTTAAACCATTTACCACAGACTTCTAAATTAAAAGTAGAACATGAATGGAGAGCTGTTAGGGACGAAACCCTCGACCTCCCGGGTGAAAGAGCTTGACGTGCGTAAGTGCAGGGACAGGACATCACATATGGCACAGCCACATGACGACAGGGTTTTTGGGGTCAGAAGAGCGGCTGCTGTCTGAGAAACAACAGCATTTTAAAAATAAAATAAAAATAATAATAATAACAACAACAAAAAATACCATGTGTTTGTTTAGACAATCGTACCCTTTCCTCTCATAGTGGTTTTTAACAAGTACGTATACATGTGCAAAATAGTTCAGTATCATATAGTTTTATATAATAAAAATTCTAATAAAGCATTTCTGTACAGAGTCAAGACACAGAATCCAAACAGTGAAGGAATCAAACCCTCCTCTGTTCCAGTTGAGTTTGGAGAACATCTCTGTCCTCTCAGAGCTCCTTGGCTCTGGTGCTGCGTTCAGGGCACCCTCGTCAAAACATTGCAGAACACCGTCACCAAACATTTGCCACCGGTGTGGTTGAGGTTTTAAAGGGGCAGTATGGGTTGAAACGACCGATCGATTAGTGGAAAATGATTGGATTACGATTTTCCTGAATCAAAGCTATGTTTCGTTATTAGAATGAATTAAGGACTGAGGTTTTCCAAATAATACCTTAAACCTCCTTGATTCGCTCATGGCTACAGGAGGCTATGTCCTTTGTGGCAGTGGTGGCTGGCGGTTAAGTAAACCAACTGGTGTCTGGAGGGTTGCAGGTTTGAATCCACCAGCCGCCAGGTGTCACTGAGGTGCACTGAGCAAGACACCGTCCCCACACACTGCTCCATGGGCGCTTAGCTTGAGCTGCCCCCTGCTCATTAAGGTGATGGGGTAGAGACAGAGGACACATTTTGTGGTGGGCTGTGTCACAAATAAATCACCTTCACTTCCTTATACACGGTCTCTGGTCATGTGACATGGAGCATGTGAAACAGACTGTTATACGAACGAGTGAAGAACACGACCCATGTTGACAGGGAATTTTGCAGACGGGAGGAAGAAAACGTAAGATTTGACGAGGTGACCCTGAACGCAGCATCCTGTTTCAGTGTTGTACTACATCCCTCTCTGTCAAACTGCAGTGTTTTCTTTAGGTTAAAGTTCAAGTAAAGGTGTGGGTTGTTGGTTCAGCGGGTGTGTTTCTGATGACCCCTCGTTCGGTAAACAAAGGTTACATAAAACATTTTTGGATGACTCAGAGACCAGCTCTGACATAATTGACTAGGAACAGTAGAGCACGAGTAGTAACTTGTCAGCGAAGGCCAAATGGAGAACTACCTTCACAAACAGAAGAGGTTCTGGGTCTGGATCCCGTTCCTCACCTAAAAACTCAGCTTCGTTTAACGTGTCAACGTCTCCCCTGTGAGAACGGACATACTGATGGATGGATGACTACTTATAATACCATTTGTTTCCACTGTGCGCTGCAACGAAGGGCCTGTTAGACACACACCCACTGGAGAAATGCTCATGGTGGAGTGGAGAACTTTGAATAGCCTCCCACACAGAAGGAAAGACTTTCTGGTGTCTGTGCTGGTGAGTCAGTACAGACATGTCTGGTTTTTTATCTCACAAGGCTCAGTTAGAAAATATCGGAGGAAGTACACTAACTGCATCGGAGTAACGATCAGGTCCACAGTGGGCGTCTGTGTCTCAGTGACTCTCGATGACCACCGGCTCAAACGTTCCAGGCGTTCCACTGAAGGTCAATGAAACAATGATAAAGAAGATATTTTCGATTCAAAATAGACAAAGTATTTTGAATTTGTTACCTGTTAGCATGCGTCCCGCTGAGCGCAGTGGTCCCGTCTTTGCTAACGAACAGTCGCAGGTTACTGTCTGGAAGAAACCAGAGAAGCAAAGTCCAATAGTTAGTCTACACCAGTACTTCTCAAATAGTGGGGCGCGGTGAGGTGCTATAATAATAATAACAAGCCTCCAGTCACTAGGTGGCAGCAGCTCATACAGTGGTTTGTACAGATAAAAATATACATGTTCTCAGGTTCTCAATAGTATTTCAATTCGCAGGGGTGTGGTCTTTGGTTGAATGTCTTTGCCGACTAAAAAAAAATGCTTATTTTCTTTATGGACTCTGGAATGGGAGAACGATTGGTTGGACAAACTTGCTTCCTGCAGAAACAGG